TTTTAGAGCTTTTTAAAACGCGAAAAAAGGTGCGCTAATGGGCAAGGTGCGGAAAAAAAGGGTGCGCAAATGTCCGGGTGCGCAAAAAAAAAGGTCGCATTTGTCCCACTCCCGCAATTTTTGAGTTTTAAAAGTCTGGAACTAAACTATTGAATGGGTTTAAATCTGAATTTGTTCTTAATCGAGATTTCCTTTTTTCTTTCAGATCACTTATGGGGCGACTCGACTCGGCGTTTACTCGTACCTCTTTGAGCGGATTTCTGGGTGAGAGTTTTTGAAAGTTTTATGATTTAAGATTTAAGATAGCATTTTCAGATTAAGATTGAGATTTAAGACGTAGGACTGATTTAGCTTCTGTTCTGGCATTTCGTAGTGTTGTACTGGTGTTCAGCGCTCGTTTTTTCGTTTATAGTTGGTGTTTTGGAAAGCTCATGGTTCATGTGTTCACAGGGCGCACTTTAGAAAGCTCCTGTTCATGTTCGGAAAATTCATAATTCATGTGGCGCATCGGTTTCAGCAAGTAAAACTAAAAAGTTGGAGAAAACTTCCTGAAAGAATCCATGAATGTATCCATTGCTAAAAATTAATAAAAAGTGATAGAGAAAACAGAAAATGAACTTTTGCGACATGAATTATGAACTTTTCGAGCAGGAACATGAACTTTCCAAAAAAGGACTATGAACACATGAACACCTGAACTTTACGAAATGCTCTCTGTTCTCGATTCTCTAGTTAAATGCTTCTTTTCAGTCCCTCGGCTTCGAATCTCTCCTTTGCGGCGAAGGCCTCGATTGCGATGTCGGCCGGTGCAGTGGGCGCTTTTGTGGGGAATCCAGCCGAGTTGGCGCTGATCAGGTTAGATTTTTCACGTTTTATCACTCGTATATTGTATCCGAATGCCGACTCAAATAGTCTAAAGTAGGGCTGTTCATTTGTCGATCCGATTGCCAATAGGTGTACAACAGAAAAACGAGTTTTGGCCACTTCAACGACGACTTTTTCACCTCTTGCTACAGTTTTTCAAGCTCTATCTTTTGATCTGAAAAATCCTTGAAAAAGTATCCATTGAAGTGGTCAAAACTCATTTTTCCGTTACACCTATTAGCAATCAGACCGACAAATGAACAGGTCTAATCTAAAGCATCCAGGTATAGAGATTTAAGCGGCTTACGATAGCTGGGCTATCTTTTTCTATGCCTTTGGTTTAATCGTGAAAATTGTTGCGTTGCCTATCTCTGATTATAAGTTAGTTAATGTGACAGTAACCAAGATACCCAACAACCTGGGTTACTATGCATTTTGCTAATTGATTTAGATCTACGGGAGCCTGGAGAGAGCATGCTTTAAAGCGTTTCGGTAGCCTGCTTGAGCCGAAATTTGGAAAAAGTTTACAAAAGAAAGGCCCTCTAGAGAAGCTGAAAATGGAAATTTAGAAAAAATTCCTTCAAGCATTCGAATTTCTGGGGTAGGCTAATTTCCGCAATTTTTTTGCACAACTGGGTCATTTGCGCAACTCGCCATAACTTTCTTCGAAGTGGGCTAATCTTTATGATTTTGGTGTCATTTTGTAGATCTCAATAAGTGCAACGAAATAAAACCAATATCATAAAGATTAGCTGGCTTAGAAGAAAGTTATGGCGAGTTGCGTAAAACGACCCAGTTGCGCAAAGGGCCCTATTGCGCAAAAAAAATGCGGAAATTAGCCTACCCCAAATTTCTCTTATAGAATGACATCAGACGGTCGTCTTCCCGTCGAGCAAAGGCGCAACTACCATAACGTTTTCGACGCCCTTGTTCGCATCACCAAAGAAGAAGGACCACTCGCCTTGTGGAGGGTACGAACTTTAACGAACGGTTTTAAAACAGAGATTCAGTTTAGCTTTTTTACTTCTATTCAATTTTTTAGGGTTCTGGACCGACAATGTTGCGAGCGATGGTGGTCGCCGTTTCCCAACTCGCCACCTATTCACAGGCGAAACAAATGCTTTGGAATCGGGAACTCTTCAGGTAAAAGATAGATTTGTAACTTTTTTTTACGGGGAATTTATAAATTTAACAATTTCCTGTCTTTTAGGACGGTTTATCGTGTCATTTCGTGGCCTCGATGTGCTCAGGACTTTGTGCGACACTTGCCTCGATGCCCGTCGATATGGCCAAGACTAGGTGGGTAATTATATCTAATTTTATCTAAATAAAGTCAAAACTTGATTTAACGATTTGCAAGGGATTGATGCTTGAAATTGTTGAATCGAATCACGTTAAATCAAAGTAAAAATATGAAGCTTTAACGACCAAATCGTTAAATCGAATCATTTTGACAAATATATCAACAAAAAGACTTATAGAGACCGAATTATCAGAAGAAAACTAAAGCCTAATAAGAAAAATCAGTTAAAGAAGCTTTGTTATTAGCAGAAAAAGTTTGTGTGTGAAAAATCATCGATAAGCGAGCATTAAACAACTTTTGCATCGGCTTTTGCATTTTGCTCTTGAAGTTTTTGTAAATAATGTAAATGTAAACAGGCTTTTGCAGTTTTAACAATATATTTTCTGATTTCAATAGTAATCTGCTGCATTTTTAGCTGAAAATCGAAAATCAAATGCACATTTCACATCGCTAAATTGAAGAAATCGTTAAATCGAGTGCAAATCGTTGAATGAAATGCAATTTTCGCATCGTTAAATCGAGAGTTGACTGTGTTAAAGTTGATAAGCTTTTTAGAACTATTAATCCTTTGTTATACTTTCTTTTTTCTTTAGAATGCAATCGATGCGCACGATCAACGGAGTGCCCGAGTACAGGAATGCGATCGACGTTTGGCAGAGGGTTGGTTGAAGATTTTGAACGCTAAAATAACTGAATCTAATAGATTTTCAACTCATATTGATAAAATCTGTAGTTTTAGTTCTTGAAATGCAATTTTATTTTAAAATTATCCGTAAAATGGTCCCCAAGTTTTTCCTTGCGATTTGTTTAAATGAAAAGCTGGTTTTAAAGACAAATTTGAGCCGCTTTTTGGTTGTAGACGCCGTATAAAACGAGAAAAACGACGAACTGTTACGCTAAAATGTTTTCTGAAACCAAAAATACAACCAAATAGACATTGGCACTATAAACTACAAACGTAAACTATAAACGCGTCTAACTTGCTTAAAATCTTCAGGATTAACATAATCTATAGCTCAAAAAATAGAGAATCTCAAGAGCTTTCGAATGGATCAAAGCATACTAAAAAAATATCAATGCTAAAAAAAGTTACAGTGATTTGTAGTCCTGACTCGAAACGGACCGTACTCACGCGTAGTCGAAGCTACAAACCATTGTAACTTTCTTTAGAAATAATATTTTTTTTTGGCCTGCTTTAGTCGATTCGAAAGCTCTTGAGTTTCTCTATTTTTTGAGCTATAGATCATGTCAATGTGACAGATTTGAATCAAGTTAGACGCGTTTGTAGTTTACTTTGTAGCTTGTAGTGTACTAAAGCACACCAAAAAATATCAATTTTAACGAAAGTTACAATGGTTTCGAATCCGCGCGAGTACGGTCCGCTTCGAGTCAGGACTACAAATCACTGTAACTTTCTTTAGCATTGATATTGTGCGTTAATCCATTCGAAAGCTTCTCTATTTTTTGAGCTATAGATCATGTCAATGTGAAAGATTTGAATCAAGTTAGAAACGCTTGTAGTTTGCTTGTATTTTTGCTTCAGAAAACCAGCATAAGCATCAAAAAAAAATCGGGTGATTTTCTCCATTTTCAGGTTATCCGAAACGAGGGTGTTCTCGCTTTGTGGAAGGGTTTCACCCCGTACTATTTCCGTCTTGGTCCACACACCGTTCTTCTCTTTATCTTCCTCGAACAGCTCAATAGTGCATACTCGAGGTGGGGTTTTTTTGCAGATTTTAAATACTTTTGAATATTACTAATTGAATAATAGATAGAACATTTACAATTTATCATTGAAAGTGCAGAAGAATCCATTTTTCTCAATTTTCATGTTGATTGACTTTTAAGTTCAAAGGTAGTGTAGCAATTGTTTGCTGGGTTTTAGGGATTAAGGGATATCTTAGTTTTCATGTATACTATAGTAAAATAACTGGAATTTACATGATTTTTAAGTATCTATTGGGTTGGTGAATTGAAAACTGCGGGCTATTGTCATATGTGACAGTTTGAGCACTTTCTTCAAAAGAAACCCATTTTGGTGTCAATGGAAAAGTTGTAGAGAATCAAAAATCAAGCTTATATCCAAATTTTCAGAACGATTCAAAAACTGGTCTTCACGAAATGCCAAATTTACGAATTTTCAGAAAATTTGCATTTTAAGCGAAACTACTAAGTGTATCTTTTTTGGAAATTTGGCTATAAGCCTAATTTTTGATTCTCTACAAATTTTCTATTGACACCAAAATGGGTTTCTTTTGAAGAAAGTGCTCAAACTGGGACGTCTCCAGTCCCCCATTTTTGAGTCTCACACTTGTCTCACACACAAACCAAAATCCTACTACGAAAGAGGAATCCGCAAATTGCCTGTAAAATGGGCAAAAGTCGTCAATAATAATGGAAATTATTTGGAATGAATTGATGGTTTTATGTTGAATAGATTTTAGTTCAAAGTCCCGCAGTTTTCAATTCACCAACCTAATATTCAACATTTATTCAATTTTCTTCCTTTTTCAGACTCGTTCTCGGTGTGGAAACTCGTCGCACGATCTAGGGAATCTTTCAAGAAAACAAAACAGATTTTCTTTTGTTTTCTTTTTGAAAATAAACTTTATGTGTTTTGCGATTCTAAAAGAATCTTTATTTTCCAAAAACATTGTCAGAATTGTCATTGCGTTCTGAAAAGGATCACGAGAATAGAAAAAGAATTCATCAGTGCACTTAAGAGACTCTGGAAACTGTTTTTGCATAGAATTCATTAAAGAAATCTCTTCCCATCCCACGCCAGCACTTTGTCGGAAAAATTTGTCACTTCACAAAACGTTTCCACATCAAAATGCGTCTCTTTCTGATCTTCGTTATACTAAAATTTACGCAGGGAGAGATTTTTAAACGTTGGTTTAGCATTGAATTTAAATCTATGCATTATTTAAAATGCATTAATACGAAAGCTCTTGAGATTCTCTATTTTTTGAGCTATAGATCTAGTCAATCCGGCAGATCTGAAGGAATTTTAAATAGAAAGCCTAAACGTGTCAACTTTAAAAAATCCCTTAATCGAAAAGTGGTTGAATGTTTTAGTTTTGAAGATTTGATTTGAAAGATTTGAAAATGAAATGCAGTTTAGAATATTTAGCGGCTTTATCCGTTGATCCAATCATCGAAACTTTGGAAAAATGGAAAAATGCTGAAGATGGGATCGAGAGAATGCAGCTCGTTGAAACAATCGTGAAAACTTTTCGCAAATGGTATAAACCGTTTTTGTTGTTGGTGAATGGAGATAAAGAGGTATTTTTGGATCAAATAAACGCTATGATTTTTTATTTTTATCGTTTTTTGATTTTTTTTGGATAGACTATTCTCACTAAAACTTTTCAGAAGAGTTCATTGGAAAAGAAAGCGTTCAAGAGATTCAGCGATTGGTTCCACAAATATGTTTTCATTGAAAGTGCTCTCAAAATAGGGGAAAACTATATTGCAAAATCGGAAGATTCATTCAAATATGAGGTCAGGCTTTTGGAAACACTTGAAAATAAGCTGTTGATTTGATAATTGAATGAAGCAAGGGACTTGAATGAGGTTTAACAAATTTGAAGCGAGTTTACTTGGAAATCCAGACTTTTTAAACAAAATTTGGCTGTATTTTTGCTACAAATTTTACAAATTCTACATCTTTCAAAGCCAGCCAAGACACTTAATGTTAAAACTTCAATTATATGACATATGATATGATACGAGAGGCATATCATAGCTTTACTCGTACCTCTTTGAGCGGATTTCTGAGCGGATTTATGGGTGAGAGTTTTTGGAAGTTTTAAGATGATTTAAGATTTAAGATAGGGTTTTCCGATTAAGATTTAGATTGAAGACGTAGGACTGATTTAGCTTCGGTTCTGGCATTTCGTAGTGTTGTACTGGTGTTCAGCGCTCGTTTTTTCGCTTATAGTTGATGTTTTGGAAAGTTCATGGTTTATGTGTTCACAGGGCGCACTTTAGAAAGTTCCTGTTCATGTTCGGAAAGTTCATAATTCATGTGGCGCATCGGTTTCAGCAAAAATTTGATTGATTGATAAGCTGTTGATTTGATAATTGATTGAAGCAAGGGATTTGAATGAGGTTCAACAAATTTGAAGCGAGTTTACTTGGAAATCCAGACTTTTTAAACAAAAATTTGGCTGTATTTTTGCTAGAAATTTTACAAATTCTATATCTTTCAAAGCCAGCCAAGACACTCAAGGTTAAAGCTTCATATTATATGGCATATGATATGATATGAGAGGCATATGATAGCTTTTCAAAATGAAAAGAACCGTATTTGTTTTTTCTGAGAAGAACCACTTGGATTTGCAACTTTAGTTAAAGTTTTTGTTAAGTTTTAAATCGAACTCTCAAGCTTTTCAGAATAACACACATTGGGTAAAGGATGTACGAGAATACGCTAAAACGATTTACGAGAGAATTGATGAACTCAAATTCAATGGAACTTTACAAAATAAAACTCATTTCTCATGTGAACGAATTTCTAATTACGATCGTGTAAGTTTACAGTTAAATTTGCTAAACTTAACCGAAAGAAAGAAAAAAGTTTATCGAAATTCCAGGCAATGAAAATGCTTTTCAATTGCAAACTGAAAAGCGATGTTTTCGAGAGATTTTGGACGGCCGTCAATGAATTTCAGAAAAGCGTTTATGAGAAATTTCCGACGCAGGACTCGAGAGAAACGGAAAACGGCAAAAGTGGGAAATTTTCGAGATGTAGATGAATGGGAATTTAGAGTATATGGATATTTCGTTGAAAGTGAAAAGACTGAGGGAAAACGATGTGAAAGAGCTGAACAAGTTCGATTTTGTCAAAGAACAGGGTACAGTAATCGAATTTTTTTATGTTCTCATGCATGCCCCAAGTACCGTGACCAGCCTAGGTTTCTATGATTTAGCTTTTAAAGAGTTTTTTTTAGTGTAATACAATAATACGGTGGCCAGGGCACTAAAAACTTGAGTTACTGTTGTTACAGGTTACGGTAGCCAAATCACGCTTTAAGCATACTGAGTCCACGATTACTGTAAGCGTTGTTACCGGGTTACGGTAGATATTAAAGTTCCTAGCCAAGTTCTTAGTTTGAAACTAGTTTACTAAGCCCCATCATTTTTCTATATACTTACGCTTTTTATATTAGATTTTGTATTATATTACATATTCTATCTATATATTATATTAGGTTCTTCGGATATAAACGAGCGTTTTCACTGCTTAACAAGGCCCTTGTTATTCCACCATACTGAGAGCATGACCTTTTTCCCAAGAATGTCCGGTTTCACGGTCAGATTTGGCCGTTCTCCTGGTCCTAGCCATTGCCTTTTTCGAATAGTATTATCGAAATGGATCCACTTCTCATCTCGGGAGCATACGGTGGATGTGGTAAAACCTCCCATCCTAGCTTCTCCAGTTTTTGCTGAGTCATCTTTGCAACGTGAGGTCTAGCGTTGTACTGGATGTACTTTATCTTTGATGTGTCTACTCCTTTGACGAATGAGAACTTCATTGACCCGATCAAGTTGCTGTTTATAGAGGTCGGATGTGACTGTTTGGCCGTTTTGTAGAAGTTCGAAATACACAAGGACCTTGTTATTCCACCATACTGCGAGCATGACCTTTTTCCCATGAATGTCCGGTTTCACGGTCGGATTTGGCCGTTCTCCTGGTCCTAGTCACTTCCGTTTTCGAATAGTATTATCGAAATGGATCCACTTCTCATCTCCAGTAACGAGAGAATCAAAAAAGCCATGATATTTAGCGTGGCGGATGAGGATTCCGGTAATAGCGACCCTTGAAGCCTTGTTTGCAGTGCTTAACTCGCGAGGAAGCCATTTCCCGCATCTGATCGCCTTTCCAATGGCGTGGAGATGCTCATCAATGATAGAATTTGAACATAGAAACTGTAGAGCAAGTTCACGCGTCGTTTGACATGGATCCGATTCTAATGCAGCCCTCAATATATCGTTTTCTACCGCTTGAAATCGACCAGAGTGTTCATCATCCTCGAGACTTTCATCACCATTCACGAAAGCGTTAGAACCAGGCTCGGCATCGGCTTTCGAACAATAAATCCTTTCCAAATGCTTTGACCAAATCTCAATAGGATTCCGCGACTGTTTTGCCCAGTTTGAAGTCGTAAAGTAGGCAGACACGAACTTGATATATTTGAAGTCGGTCATCATCCTCGAGATCTTAAAAATAAGAAATTATCCGTTTAAAAAGATTCCAAATCTACACAAGATAACGTACTTTTAAATACAGAAAGACATTTTTGAAAAGCTTCCCTCACAACAATAAGTTTAGTAAGGCTTGTTTACATCCGAACAACCTAATATTTTTCAAGTCTCTTGCACTAACCTCTTGTCCAATTTAGTTCTTAACGATAAAAAATTGTCGAGTGAGGATCGGAAGAAAATTGCGGAGAACTTGGAGCAAGTGTTGGCTCGGCTGAATGATCTTTTGCATAGGTGATTTGGGTTTTTCGCATTTCCTCCATTTTTCAACTTCCAGTTGCTTTATGGAGCGAGTCATTTACGGGAATTTCTTTCATCGTCAAACCATCGCTGCCTTTGTTGATCAAATGATCGGTGCTTTGACTAAATTTGTGAGTTTTAAGGAATTTTCTCAAAAATCCCGGCATTTCTCACTCAAAAAATCATTCAATTTAGGCTCTCTCGGTCCCAGCGTGTTACTTGAGCGAAACTCACGCAGATTATCACACGCAGAGCATCTTGAGTCGTTTTGATGCCGCCAAAAATATCACTATCTGGTTGTACAATAAGCTGGTCACAATCATTAATGTTTATCTAAAAAAAATGAAGCTTTTAGAGCAATACCACCGCTGTAGAGGAGGTTTTGGCAAAAAGAACGATCACAAATTTTTTGTCCAAAAAATACTTTAAAAAACTGAACTTTGCGACGGGTCAAGTGATTGGTGCTTGCGATTATCAACTTTTGGCTGAAGAAATTAGTGAAACTTTGAAGGATTTGGGATTCGTGGAGTGAGTTGAATTGGGATTACGGTAGCTTTGAGATTATAGTAGCTTTGGGATTACGGTAGCCCTGAGATTATGGTAGCTTTGGGATTATGGTAGCTCAGAGATTATGATATTCTTTTGGGATTACAGTAGCTTTGGAATTACAGTAGCTTTGGGATTACGGTAGCTCAGAGATTATGGTATTCTTTTGGGATAACGGTAGCTTTGGAATTACAGTAGCTTGTGTTTGCGGTAGCTTTTGAGATCACGGTAACAGTTTAATCTTTAGCGTCCGACGTCAAATCCTCGTCCTTCCCACAAGTTCCATTCAAATCTCTTCACATTTCGTTTGTCCCCAAAATTCTTGCATTCTCATCAAAAACGAACGCGGAGTGGATGTAATGATCACTCATTTTGACGACCAGCAACTCGATCATCTAAAAGAATTCAGTCCATTTGTGGAAAATGAGAAAAAGAAGATCCTTGATGTTGTCAAGTTGATGCAAATTCTTTTCAAAAAATACCAATTACAGGAAAAATTCTTGGGAAGATTTCGGGAAATTGATGGAATTGTTGGTGAGTGGTGGTGTTGCTTTCACAAATGAAACGCTTTCTCGAAGTTTTGCGATGGTTCGCCACAAGATTTCGGCTTTCAAGGTGAATTTTGAAATTGTTTAACAAGGAAATTGGTACTTGTCGGTTATAAATCGACAAAGACTCATCTCGGTTAAGCATCCCCATCCGAGTCTTTTCGGTTATCGTTTTTCGTTCAACTGATCGACTGATCACTTCAGGCACTCTACTTTCCTGAACGTAATCACCCCTCACAAGTTGTCAGCTCCTTGCTTAACCGAGTTGAGTCTCTGTGGATGTTTAACCGAAAAGTACCAAATTTTCCATCTCGAAGTTAGTTGATGTTAGCCTCACAATCAAGCCATCAGCTAACCGGGCTACGGCAACAGCTATTAACGAGCCATCAGCTAACGAGCCATCGGCTAACAAGCCATCAGCTAACGAGCCATCAGCTAACGAGCCATCGGCTAACAAGCCATCAGCTAACGAGCCATCAGCTAACGAGCCATCGGCTAACAAGCCATCAGCTAACGAGCCATCAGCTAACGAGGCACAATCAAGCCATCAGCCAACGAGGCTACGGATTACGCTAGCCGATTCATGTTTTAGTCTATCCGAGTCGATCCACAAAGACTCATCTCGGTTAAGCATCCCCATCCGAGTCTTTTCGGTTATCGTTTTTCGTTCAACTGATCGACTGATCACTTCAGGCGAGCTCTCGACTTCCCTGAACGTAATCATTCCTCACAAGTTGTCAGCTCCTTGCTTAACCGAGTTGTGTCTCTGTGAATGTTTAACTGACAAGTATCAAGAAATTTGATCAGGGTATGTGCAATGTGAGCGGTGAGACAGTCTCGTATCGTTTGAATCGAGTGCAAACGGAACACATCTTCCATTACACAAATGTGATCGATCGAGGCGTTTTCGATGATTACACTTGTTATTCTTTTTATTTCTTTGCATGATCATTTGGAAATAAACTCTCAAGCATAAAAAAGGGCAAGTGAAACTGTTTATTTTATTATGTTTTGAGGAATAATTTCATAATCGCTCGCTTTTTCTTGGCTATCTGTAAAAATTAAAGTACTTTACGTATTTATTACTGTAGAATATGAGAGTTTGATCTAAAACCCAAAATAACTTGAGGAACCAGGTCTGAAATTGACAGAGTACAGTAATTTTACAACAGAAATATAGTCGAAACAAAAGTGATCAAGAATAAAAACGAAAACGTTAGCGAGATCATCAGAAACCAAAACCGTTATTCGATTTACGAGAAAGAATAAAGCATTTGTGGGATTTTAAAGTTTTTCTTGGTTAAAACATTGAGATGAGCGATCAATAGCAATATGCAATTGTGAGCGATCAATAAATATGCAATCATGAGCGATCAATCATGAGCGATCAATCAATATGCAATTGTGAGCGATCAATCATGAGCGATCAATCAATATGCAATCATGAGCGATCAATCATGAGCAATCAATCAATATGCAATTGTGAGCGATCAATCATGAGCGATCAATCAATATGCAATTGTGAGCGATCAATCATGAGCGATCAATCAATATGCAATTGTGCTCATCGATGTTGCAAAGGGTCGAAGTGGACGATCGGCTTTTGTGGAACCTAGTTTTTATTAAAGTTTTCTACATATTTGATCAAATCCACCATTCCTGCAGCCAAATTTCTCAGTAAAATATTGAAGATATGGAGGATAGATGACGATTGTCGTGATCGTGAAGATTATACCATAAAACGTTTGTAGAAAATTCGAAAAATCCATGATGGCTTAAAATTGGGAAAAAAAAGAATTAAAGAATTACAAATTTCAATGAACTTTTTAAAAATGATCACCAGTTGATTGAGAAATTGTGAATCGTGCCGCAATTTTTCGACTCGCCACCGGACCAACGTAAAAGAGCAATGGGATAAGGAACTGGGAAATGTTGAAATTTAGCTTACTAGCGATGCTTTTCGATTTACATCTCGCTTTTGAGCCATAGCTTTTCTGGTGCAGTTTTTTTGCGCTGATTCCGAATATCTAGATCTTTTGGGGATGACGTGCAATGGGATGCGGATAAGGAAAAAAAAAGCAATGGGATGAGGAACTGGGAAATGTTGAAATTTAGCTTATTAGCTATGCTTTTCGATTTACATCTCGATTTTGTGTATAGACATAGCTTTTCTAGTGCAGTTTTTTGCACTGATTTCTTTTTTCCGAATATCTAGATCGTTTGGGGATTAAATGGTGAAATTCGCAAGATATTCAGCTCCAAACTTTACACACAATTTTTCAGCATGCCTTTTTTCGACCATGGATAGTCAACTTGCTTTTGCGCAACGATGAAAACGTGAGCTTGTGGCCGACTGATTAGTGTGTTTGCTTTATTATTTTGCATTAAATAAAAGTAAAATACCCTAAGATTGTTTAGTCAAGATTTTTACATCACTAAACACAAAAAACCAAAGCGTCTGCAAGCGGTTTCGAACCGGTGAGTTAAAGAAATGAAGGTAAACACACAAACCAGTCGACCACAAGCTCACGTTATCATGGTTGCGCAAAAACAATTTGACTATCCATGGTCGAAAAAAGGCAAGCTCAAAAATTGTGTGTAAACTTTGGAGCTATCTTGCGAGATATCTTGTGAGAGTTATTGAGAATTTCAACACGTCATCCGCAAACGATCTAGATTGTCGGAATCAACACAAAAAACTGCACCAGAAAAACTATATCTAAGCTCAAAAATCAGGTGTAAATCGAAAAGCAGTTAATCAAGCATAGTTTGATCTGATCAACCTGTAATATGCTGTTTCTGATCAACAGCTTTTGTTTTTGTATAGTGCCATTTGATAAGAAGACGCTGTCTTTAAGTGAAGAGAAATGCTGGCGAGCAATCAAGATCAATGTGGCCTGGACGAGAAGGGTTGAACCAAGGCAAAAAATCGCCGTCATAATAAATGGAGTCCGCGTTTTGAAAGTTAACGCAAAAATCGATGGATTGATGATATATTGACTCTGAAATTGGTGCGGATTTAACTCTGACTTTGACTTTGACTCCTGACTAATCATAAGGAAATATAGACAAATTTTTGATGATTACGGTTCCTCACATGGTATTCTCTTTAATAGAAGTTCCTTTTAAAGGGGAGTTGAAAAATAAAAGATTATTTTCTTCATTTCTTCTATTAGAGAGAATCCGGTACATCCGGTTTTTTACATTCGAAATTTATTCGATTCCGGTAAATGAGAAACGCATCGAGTTGAATTCAGTTGAATTTTAATGAGAGATTTTTGGTGATTACGGTCTCTCACATGGTATTCTCTTCAATAGAAGATTCTCCTAAAGGGGAGTTAAAAAATAAAAGACCATTTACCGGAACCGGATAAATTTCGAATGTAAAAAAACCGGATTTACCGGATTCTCTCTAATAGAAGAAAATGCTTTCAAGTAATCGAGAAACCGCTTTGTTTCAAAACAAATCTTTATAGAATCTTTCATCTTTCAAGCCTAAGAAACCCCATTTGGAACTGTTGTGAACATGAAATTCAAATTGGAAAGCAGATTCCATTTTCTCTTCCAACTCTACCTCATCATGATTGTAGAAGAATATGCCAAAATGCAAAAGAAGGACAAAGCCGTTTCCCGCAGAGAGAATGGCAATTGCTCTGTAATTAAAGAGTTTTTTTAGACGAAATCGAATCCCACTGTCTACTTGATAGAAACAAATCAAAATCTCAAAATCTGCCAACCAGCGAAACCGATTAAAAACTTAAAAACTGAAAGTATAATTTGTTAAATGGGTTTCTTTTCCTTTCAAATAATTGTTGAATTTTGAGTTTTCTATATAAACTCTTGGCAAACTTTTAACCATAAAAAGTCATGATTCTGATTCGGAAAAGAAGCGACGAGTGTTCTTTTGTGTTCTTTTGTGTTCTTGCGTTAAAAAGCAAACCGCTTGCACCCGGAGATCGACATTCAGAATGCTTAAAACACCATTGAATTGAATAGTTATATGTTGTGTTGTCTCAGAATTCGTGTATCGTGCTAAACAGAAAAAGCCATGAATCAAGTCGGCGAAGCACGGCGCTAAACTGAAATTTTTTTCTTGATTTTAAGAATACATATGAGATTTTTGTGCTTACTTATAGCCTATTAATCATCTTCAGCAAATGAGGATCTATAAAACAAAACAAAATTCGAAGTAGTTTTGTTCGACATGCATAGGCACCCAGCGGTCATTTGATGAATTGTGCAGAGTTTTTGAAAAAATATTGCACAATCTCGTTACATGCTCGCCATGCAGACATTTTCGATACTCCATCTAGATCGCCCAAATAGTCAAATAGAAATTTTGTTGGGTCAAAAGTCGAACTGTGATTCCTAACTTGAGCGAAATTGACATGGGAGCATCTTTTTTTAGAAGTAGGCTATAAGGCGAATTTAATTAAGCCAAATCAACGTGTAGCTTGTCAAAAAAAATAATTCTTAGGGTTTTTAGGATTTGGAATTTGTTGCATTTCTAATCTGTGAATCAATCATACTTTTAAAAGTCATCCAAACCGGCTAAATTTATCAGAGTTAGATGCTCGCTTCTCACGCAAAAATCCTGAATCCCTTATGTGATTTTTCGGGGAGTCTTTTTCGGGGAGAAAAAGGATAGGGAAAAAAATAGAAGGGCATTTCCTTCAATTACAGTATTGACGGTATATGTTGTGTTCGATTTAGATTGAACTTATCGATCTAGATTACATCCAGATGAACATCCGATCTAGACTACAGGGTGTTCCACAATTACTGATACCTGATAACTAGCTTGAAAAAACTTTTTTAGTAGAAAACTTGTGATGAAACTTTGATTTTTAACAAATTAGATAGTAAAGTAATGGAAAAACAACAATTATTGGATATGTCCTCCTTTCGCGTTGATACAGAGCTGAAGGCGCTTCGGGAAGTCGTCGACCGTGGCACGCAAATAGGGGAGATCCATCACCTAGGTCGGATGAAGAGAATGCGAAACTGATTTGTGTGGATTAGAAATGACGTAAATTCGATCGTTTTGCTTGTTCAACACTTGCTGGACCGTAAAAACTTTCTCATCGGTGAAAAGAATCCTTCGGTGAGCTTTTCCAGGAAACCGAGCAAGAAGTTGAGCACAACGCTGTTCTCTCATAAGTTTTGTAGCATCGGTAATTCCGTGACACTTGTTTTTCTTGAAAGCTTTCATTCCTAAGCGTTTTCGAACGATTCGATGCATCGAAGTCACAGGAACTTTCATTTCACGAGCCATTTGACGAACAGATCTCTCTCCGGGTTGCGCCTTATTCTCTCGAGAACGTTCTTGATAACAATCTTAACAGTCGAAGTTACAAGTCTTCCAGGTCCCTTTCGATCCTGATTTGTTCCAAAAGACTTAAAACGTTTGCATGTTCGCAAAACAAGTTGTTTTGTCACTCCCAGTCGTTGAGGGATCGACCGTGCCGGAATACCTTTCTTGCGAAAAGAAATGATCAAGTCGCGAAAGCTGGAGGGCTTGGCCATTTTTAAAAAAGGACAATTTTTTTAAATATTATTAAATGAAAACAAGTTTAAAACAAGAAAAACTTAAAAAACAGTCAATAAATCGCTCGCGTTGGACAATTTAAATGCTTTTATCATGAGGGCTCGGGGTATCAGTAATTGTGGAACACCCTGTACAATCTAATTCATTCTAATGGCACTGTGATGTCATATTCGAGCTAATATGTAAACTAAGATTATTGAACACCCTGTAGATTGTAATCTAAATCGGATGTCGGCGATAAGTTCAATGTAATCTAATCTAATCTAATCGAACACAACATATACCGTCAATACTTTAATTGAAGGAAATGTCCTTCTATTATTGATAATAAAAATGCGTCCCCCCGAAGCATCTGCTTATACACGGGATTTTAGGGTACAATTTATTTTTTAAAAAAACCTTTTAAAATCACTCTAGCTCGATTGGAAATGCTCTAAAACGAACGAAAAACAGGTTTCAAACAAGAAAATTTCTTTCAGCCATGTTTCCTGCATTCTCGAAACTGATAAGGGGAAGCATACAATCTTTTTTCGAAAAAGTATGTTTTATATCCTTTTAAATTTAACTGCCAATTCTTTTAGGTTATACATATGGCCCATATACACCATTCTAAGCACTCTTCAGCGAAACTCTTTTTCAAATGTAGTGACTTTTTGGGCGACCAATTTTGATGGATTGGCGCCAATTGGCGACCAACCTTCAATTACAGTATTTACGGTATATACGGTATATACGAAAATCAAGAAGCACTCACGTGTGCATAAGCAATAGACTTTGATTGAATCCTCATTTCCCGAGGCGCTTTTAAAATAACGAGAAAGATCACAGAGACGTTGATGATCGAGCAAAAAACTGAAGAGAAAAAGATATTTTGAGCAATTTGAGCAAATTCTTTTATAGATATATATTAAGAAAAAGCACAGACCAGTCGTGTAGTAATTTATTTTGATGAGATGGAATGGCCCGTGAACCATGCTAAACTCTGTTGATGTTATGCAAAAAATGCTTTTGACAATTTCCGCCTTTTAAAAAGTTGATTACGAGAGGGGAAACGAAATAACGAAGTCGAAAAGGGAATAATTACATTAATTAAATTATTCCTTTTTGCGAATAATTACATTATTCATTATTCATTATTAATGTAATCATTCCTTAAAAGGAATAATGCTATCCAGAGCGAAAATGAGTGGAAGAAAGTAATTGTGAATGAAAACTTATTTATTTATGTCTACGCTCTGTACAGTGTATTTCATTTGTTTTCAAGCTTTCTGTTTCTTCTTTTAGAATGGCTTGAATGGAGAAGATGGAAACGAAGAACATTCGATTTTCTCCGGACTCCGGAGCCCGAACAACCCATCCAGGGGTTTAACCTGACGGTTAGCCTGTTTGACGTTAACTCAGCCGAAACAGAGCAAGTGGGTGCTTGTGGAGGGGAGGGAGTAACTTTATCTCTAACAATTCTTTAATAGTTTTATAGCTAAAAGATTACCGTGTTTTCTCTAGTAGTAGTGCACCCAGAGCGTCGCCTAAATTACTCGAAATCTCGAGAACCGCTTATCAGAACTAATGATGTGGGGTCGGAAAATGTAGCTGACGTTGAGATCTTGTGGGGGATTTGAGTGTTGACCTTCTGCAAAGGCTTGGAAACCGTCAGATAGTGATCAACGCGGCTCAGCGCAGTGCAGTGGTAGGGAAAATGCGGTATCTTTTCTTTCCCCTACCTGATATTCAACGGGAGTCTCCATGTAGTTAAACATCGCTCCACCCAATAAAGAGTAGAGAACCAACTTACTATTTAGATGAGCTAGGCTAATGTCCATGTTTTATTGCCGTATTTTTCTTAATAGTAGTGCACCCAGAGCGTCGCCTAAATTGCTGGAAATCTCGAGAACCGCTTATCAGAACCTATCGATGTGGGGTCGGAAAATGTAGCTGACGATGAGATCTTGTGGGGGATTTGAGTGTTGAGCTTCTGCAAAAGCTTCGAAACCGTAAAACCGTCACCAACTCGGCTCGCCGGGGTGCACTACTATTAGAGAAAATACGGTATTCCTTAAAAGGAATACTGCGATTCAGAGCCAAAATGAATAGAAGAAAGTAATTGGGTAAAAAAACAAAGTCCTGGTATTAGATTTGTTTAACTTTCAGATATTTGAGAATGTAAACATTAAAAGTAGAAAAAACGAAGATCAGAGCTAATCCAGAAAAAATCATAACTTTTTAATCATTTAAACTTTTTCAACCAGCCCTAAAATCTTTCCTTACATTTTTCAACGATCTTCGCTTCTTAGCTCTACATTCTTTTCTATTTTCTCGCTTTTCTGCGTTTTGAAATTGCCTTTCTGTTGAATTCTGATTGAATCGTTTGAATACTGACTGATTCTGATCTGATTTCTGTTGAATTCTTTAGATAGTTTGCGATCGCCATTCTCTGTGCCACGCCATACCGCAGAGCTCCCTCCTATGACTTTTCAAAAATATTTCCAATCTGTTCAAATATTTACCATAAAGGATGGCTGATCGTTGATTTCATTGACATTAAGTGCGTATAAAAGGGCATTGATCACTCGGAGAAAAGTGATTGAGAAAGTGAAGCACAAAATCATGTTATTCTATGTGCTTTTGGGATTTGCGTGCCTTTTGGAAAGTCAAGTAAGGCACTTTTATATTTTTTTATCGCCTTCCAGTAAACTAACGTCAACTTTGAGGTTCTTGGCCAGATAACTCCAGCGACATGTGCCCCTAAACCGGACAATGTCTCGAATGGACTCGCAATGGGACGTACGAGAAACATCTTTTTATAGTGAATGTCGCAGTGCTTCTAATCTAGTTTTAACACATTGACGACTGAGCATCTTTTGCGAAACGGTCGATCCAGGGATCAAAATGAATCACCAAATCCTAGAAATTTAGACAAAAGACTCTAGAATCCGAAGCTGATCTTAGATTTAAGCCAACAAACTGCACATACCGTAAATACTGTAATAGTACCCCATTCCCCTCGTACAGTCGCGTAGTCGCAAAGGTTCTTCAGTATTTCATTTTTTTTCAAAGCGCCCGTACTTTCAAAAAATACGTCTTTGGTATCAAAAAATAGCTGAAATTCAGGGCTATTTTTTGATGCCTAAGCGAGCATTGTAGCATAAACCAGTGTCGAGAAAAACTCGTTCAAAGCTAGACTACGCAACACTCCGCACCGTCATTATGGGGGCGGGGTACTATTGCAGTCTTTACGGTAGTTCATTTCCACAGTTTTAATTTGATTTTATACACTAAGTTTCTAGTCGTTAACTTCTCGATCTTTTTATATTGAATGTCGCAGTGCTTCTGATCTAGTTTTAACACATTGACCACCGCGCATCTTTTGCGAATGATGCTATATGTTCCCGGGTTCAGAATTTCCTTTAAAATTGTTTTGAGCTTTCAAAAATTATTGTTTACCTTAGAAAAACTCGATTTTTTTTGAAGCCGGTTTAATTACCTAAGTCCCTACCCTAAATCCAGTGTGTCAGACGCCGTTTTTGTCCTATATTTGTTCCTAGGTGTAAACGGATGTGGACTAGAATTTGGGTTAAGTTAAAGAGAGTGGATCCCTTTTGATATCCCGCCATCTCTAACACCCCGACAACCCAACCCAACTCCTCCAACGTATTAGAGGGGAGTCCCTGTGAAATGACCGACCTGTACTACAGTTGCATAGACCCGGAAGATATGTATCTTTATTTACAGTAGTACAATTAGACTAATAGATTACAAATGAGTGTAAGGGGAAGAGGGGACTCCAAATGAGAGTCTCACTTGTCCTCCTAGGCAGTCCCAAGGACCGACCCTTCTCGGCGATAAAAGGGATAAGCACATGGGAGAACACATTTGCATAAGAATAGACAAATCATTCAATAATAACAATAGTAACTAAAATATCAGTTTGACTCGGAGCTGACACCTACAAGTGACACAAAAAGCACCCACAAAATCTCCTTTACAAAGTGCTTTTTTAAAAAATTCAAAACACTCATTTTTTAAAACTTCTTTGAGTTCTAATACTTGATTTTTGTAGCTATTTTATTAAAGTATCTAAAACTATTAGAAAATACTTTTTGCAAAACGTTCTTGCTTCGGGGGAGTCGAACTAATAACCCTATTGGAGCCTGAGATCGGCCTCGCGCGCCTTAGATCACTCGGCCATCGAATCCGAGGTAACACCCGGTTTTTCCGCTTTTTACGAAAAATCACACAACTTCCTAATAAAACTAACGCTCGGAAAAAGAACCCAAAATTACAGGTTCTTGCAAATTTTAAGCTCATTTGGTCCAGCGATTCACGAGAAACAGCCGGTTCAGCATTGAGTCACGCGGTCGTTTATGTGTTAAAATCAAGCATGTTAAATCCGCCTCTTTTTTTGGTCCGTTTGCCGTTGACAATCCACGAATTTTTGCCCCTATTTTAGCCAGCGTTGGTTTGAAAAACGTTGAACTTGCTTGCATTCGACTCGAAATCAAATTTTCGATCGAATGAAAGCAAATTCAACGTTTTTCAAACAAGCCAGGTGAAGGTAGGAGCAAAGTTCGTAGATTGTCAACGGCAAACGGACAGAGAAAGTGGCGGAGTTGAGATGACTGGTTAAAGTGCATCGCAGTGCATCAATTCAATCTTATTCCAGCGGCTCTGAATGGGTATTGCGTGGGTGGGATGACTTGTTACACCGATAACAACAAAATGACATGCTATCTGGTGGGGTTGAAATGAATACCCTTTTTTTAGTTTAGCTTTTCAGAATGAATTCGGCAATTGTCCATTGAGGCCAGCAAGTGTGTCTCGTGAAGCAGCCATTAGCCGTAAGTGATAAGAGAAGAGAAGAGAAGAGAAGAGAAGGGAAGAGAATCAGTTTAGCCTATCAAACGGGCAATCTGCAGATGAACTGCCCAACCGGGTCCACTTGCTACATCTCCGATGGAGTGAAACAGTGCTTTTTGGTCAGCTGTTTAACTCGATTATTTGATTCGTCACTGTCTTTGTTGAGAATCAGCTGTAAACATCAACGAATCAGCTGTAAACTTTTAATTTCAGCTCTCATCCTCATGTGAAGATTTTGATGGAAGTGATCTGTGAGTTTCTAAATTGATTCAGCAATATTAATGCATAGTAATAGTAAGTTCAAAATAAGATTTAGACTTATCATAATCGATCTTAAAAACTATGAATCGATTTAAAAAAGAAAATCCAGAGAATAACGATAATCTAGCTTTTGAGTAAACTAAATAAAAGATTTATTATAATAAAAGGCGTTAATTGTTAAATAAAGATGTTAAATGAAGTCGTGCTTTGATATTATTAAGTTGACAACTATTGGGTTGTCCAGTTATGAATGCGCGTTTTTACTATTTTGTAAATTTCTCAAGATATCGAAGAGATGTATATGAGTGTTATATATCATTCGAAAGCTGAAGATCTCCTCTACATTTTGGAATAAAAAAGTTTTTGAATTCATTCAACTTTTTGGGAAATTGACTGCACAAAGGGAGAGGTCGTTTTCGAAAAAACCCATTCCAGCTTGGCTATTCCTCAAGTTTTATGGTGTAAAATAACCGCCCAGAAAAGAAAAGTAAAGATGCTCTGAAATTGTTATATTTGAAAAAAGTTTTATTGATATATCTATTGGCCAAACATCAAACGGTTAACTCAATTTGAGCGGAACCAAAACTTGATCGAAAGGCACCCTTCCATTTTTTGGCCACCTCTTCTTCTGTGCAGTCAATTTGCCCAAAAGCTGAACAAATTCAAAAACTTTTTATATCAAAATGTAGAGGAGATCTTCAGCTTTCGAATAATACTCATAGATATCTTTTTCTTGATTTCGGTATCTTGAGAAATTTACAAAATAGTAAAAAACGCGCATTCATAACTGGACAACCCAATAAATAATAAATTTATTTATAATAAAAGGCGTTAATTGTTAAATGAAGTCGTGCTTTGATATTATTAAGTTGGCAACTTAATAATATCAAAGCACGATAATATCAAAGACGTTTTGTGAGTGATTTCCATTGTTCTTTTGTAAAGTTCGCAATTCACCAGTTTTCTTTAAATAAAAAGAAAATGTTTAACGTTTGTTTGTACGTCTTTTAATGCTCATTCACGGTTGGATTGTGGAAAAATGATGAGAAATTCATCTTTTTATGAAATTTCAAAAATTCATTTATAAAAGAGAATAAATGAGCGGATCGTTTTGAAATTTCGTCTATTTGCTTTTGAAATTCCCTAACTTTTTGCTCTTTCTCTTTTTTCTATTAACAGCAAAATGTTTTGAAGAAAAACTTCATAAAATAAATTCTTGGGGTCATAATTTTTGAGTCATCAAGTCATTCAAGTCATTCAAGTTTGAGTCATCATGTCATTCAAGTCAACCTATAAAAGAACTTTTAAAATCAAATGTTTCTTTTGATGTTTTTAGTGATACTCTAGGGAATTTGTTGTTCTTTTTTTTAAAAAAAAAGAACAAACCTTAAGTTAATCGGTAAATTTTCTTAAAACGGAATGAAAAAAATCACCCTCAAGACTTACAGGGTGTGTCATAGTTACTCGAAATCGCTTCTAAAAGTTGAGCTCAGCCAAAATCAAACGAATCTCTCTGCTTTTTTCGTAGGTAAATTTTGAAAAGGTTTCCTGTAGCAGGACTCAATAAGAAGTCGATTGGAGGATACATAATTTTTATATAGGCTCTCAAAGTTGAGAGTCTCGCTTTCTTTCGCACGCAATGACTTCTGGGATTAGTGCCGTTATTACTTTACTGCCACACATGCCGCAAAACACCTCAATTTCAATGTTTCTTCCAAAAATAGTGTTAATGAAAAACTCGTGATGCAAAATTTGCTTTAAGTTTTATATAGGCTTTCAAAGTTGAGAGTCTTCAAAGTTGAGAGTCGCTTTCGTTGGCATGCAACACGTCTTAGAGGTTTATAGAAAAGTCAATTTTTGGCTAAATCAAATCAGACTTTCACGACTTTTGAATAAATATACATTAAATCCTAAAAGTAGCAATCAGAATGGCAAAGAATGGCAATTAAGGCTACTTTTCGAAATTGATAGAAAAAAGAATGACAATTACTTTTCCAATTCCTGATTTCTAAAGGAGCTTTAAGCTTTGGAATTTTAAGGAATTCAAGGATAAATTTCAGAATCAAGTGTCGATTTTATCTTCACTACTCATGATTTTTCAAATTTAAAGCAAATTTTGCATCACGAGTTTTTCATTAACACTATTTTTGGAAGAAAAATTGAAATCGAGATGTTTTGCGGCAAGTGTGACAGTAAAGTAATAAAGGCACTAATCCCAAAAATCATTGCGTGCGAACGAAAGCGTGACTCTCAACTGTGTGCTCCAATCGACTTAATATTAGCCACTGCTACAGGAGACCTAGACAAAATTTACCTATGAAAAAAATCAGAGAGATTCATTTGATTTTGGTGGACTTTTAGAAGCGATTTCGGGTAATTATGATGCATCCTGTAAGTCTTGAGGGGGATTTTCCTCTTTCTTTTTTAAGACACTCAATACACCGATTGACTTACGGTTTGTTTTATTGAAAAGAACAACGAATTCTCTTAAAGCATCACGAAAAACACCAAAAGCTCTAGTTGCTGCTAGTTGCTGCTAGCTCTGCTAGTTGCTGCTAGCTCTGCTAGTTCTAGTTCTAGTTCTAGTTTTCCTCTTGTTCTAGTTGCTCGATCTGGAAAAGCAATGGCTACTGTGACTCGTCAGCTTCCCAACAAGAGAAACTGCGACATTGTCGAAAGACGTGTGGACTCTGCAATCTCACTCCGACCTGCTTGGATCCCAATCCTAAAGAGTGATTATCGCCTAATCACAAATCACAAAAAGCTCATTTAGTTGCAACGCGTGGGCTGCCAACGATTTTTGTCGGAGTATGTTTTGGACATCGTCGGAAAAGGCTCAATATTGTCCCAGTTCGTGCAATCGGTGCCTATAATAAGAAGAGATTTACGCGTAAATAAAATGTTTTTGAAAGGATTCATCCACATGAAATTATTAGGTGTGTGAAAAAGTAATCCACGTTTTTAACGTTTAAATATAATAGACCATAAGTTTCGTTAAATAAAATTCATGGCATTCAAGCGTTTCCTTACGGTTGATCCATCACAATTTAATGTAAGACCTATTTCTGAAGAGGTTGAACGAGGGTTTTCGAGAAGACAGCGTCTTATTTGGTCATCAGAACAGGTCTCAGGGCGACCGCCACGTGGTTCATCTTCTAGGCTTTCATTATCACCTTTGAATCGTCGGAACCAAAACCTAGCGGTATCATCAATAACGGCGTCTTCGCCAAACGCATTCCGAATTCGACGTGCAGCCTCCGCAGCTTTCAACCCATTTTTGAACTCATAAAGCAAATTTGACCGAATAACGATACTTGTGTATACCATTTTCAAACTAAAATGAAAGTAATTTATTGTCGTCCTTTTCACAAAATAAATATATCATTCGAAAGAGGAAAAAATAAGCTTTTAAACGATATATATATATCGTTCACAAAAATTAAAAATTGTTTAGATATATTTATTTAAATAAAATAAAAATAAAAAACGTGGATTACTTTTTCACACACCTAATATCCGTATTTCCCAATCGCTTGCATCTAAAATCTAAGA